GGCCTCGGATAAATAGGTGGGGGTCTGCTCGTTTCCCCCGTCCTTGGGGCAAGGAGACGTGAAAAACGAGAGCGGGATCACATACTCCTGGAGATAGATAGTTACAGTCGACACCCTCTTAACCCATAGCCCTCGGGACAGGCCCAAATATATGGGTTTTGAGGGGTTATGGGCTACGAGAACTTTAGCGCCTTTTAAGCGCCCTGATAAGTCCCAGCTAGCGAGCGCTGAACAGGCGTCTACTGACCCTTCGAAGGGAGCGCTATGGGATTTCGAACACACTAACCTACCCACAACGTGGTTGAAGCATGGATGGATGCTGGGAGGACACTAGGAAGCATGTATCGAGTACTTTGTGGGTTATTGATGGGCGGAATCTCAATGTGACCACTATTACCGTATGGGTTTTGAGCCCTAGAAGGCTATGGGTTATGGGGTAATGGGTTATGGGGTCGAATTCCCCCTATCCCGACTTGGGAAAGCCAATATCCTATGGGTTTTTAGAGTTTATGGGTTACCAGGGGTATGGGTTAGGAGGGTGTCGACTGTAGTGAGTCCGACACCAAGTAATGCGCTAGAAAGGCAACAGGAGGGGTTCATTTGTCGACAGAGACATTGCCATCCGAGGCCCAAGCCCAGCCCCAGAGCCAGCTGCCGCTGTTGTCCCGGGCACTTCCAGGAGGAGGCCCAGTGAGCTTACGGAGCCATTCGGGGATGTAGTGGGTCAGGGTGGCAAGAGACAAAGAGGCAAGGGGGACGATGATGAGGAGGTCGTAATTGTGAGAGTGGCGAGGGAAGAAGCTCAGGCGAGAGGAGAGACAGAGGGCGCGAGCGAGACAGGCGAGACAAAGGCTTCGCGCGCACGTGATGTACGCGTTCTTTGCCCAGGCGCCCCAGCTATGTCGACGTGTCCAAGGTAAGTAATCCTATTGCCATTTTCCACTGACTTTTGACATGTACGGAGCTCAGTAAAACTCTGCCGTGAAATCTGTATAAGATTGGGCCCCTTAGGAGGATCACCAAGACGCTCTTTCCTCTATCCCCCTCTCTCACCCCTCTGTTCTCATTCGTGCTGTCCGCTATGTCGAGACTCTCCGTACTCTCACAGCTGTCTGGGCCTCCCACTTCTCTGATGAGCTGAATTGTAACTTCTACAAGGACTGGTCCCACTCCAAGAAGAAGGCGTTCATCTGCTAGCATGCCGAGGACGGTGGCAAGTCTGTCGCTCGCTCACTCGAGCATATCCGCAAGTACTGCACCATTGTCCGTGTTCTCACTTGCTCGGGACACCTTGAGCTCTCGTACGGGACATGGAGTCATGATATGGCTTCGCACTATAGCGCGGCCTCTCAGCCACTCTCGTTTCGAGCCTTGCGCGATGCCATTGGTGAGTTCGACATCTCTTTGATGATAGCACTTATATACACTCCTTTTTGCACGCATATACTCATGGTTATCTAGAAGCTTTGTCGTCTTATCCTCGAGCCATAGGTGATCGTGTCCCTCTGTGCCAGTGGTGTGTTGTCCCTGCCCTTCTCTGAGAGCGCATATACTGACGTTGTTCTCAGCTGAGCTTGAACCATGACTACGTGGAAGCCTCGGTGTTGGGATGCCGTCACTAAGGTACATTCCTGTTGCAGTCTTACTTCCTCTTGCCTTCTAGTGTACGCTGTAGTTCCGCATGACTTAGCCCGCTCTCCATGTACGATATGGACCGTTCATGAATTTATTCACAATTGGAAAACCTTCCAAGCCCGATCGGCGTTTCGCTCGACTGTGCTCATCTGATCGCCCAACGCGGAAGACCTGAGGCAATAACATCAATTTCAGGCAACATATAGTACGAATGGTTCAATATTGCCTGGCCTTCTCACTATTACCCGCTCTCGCAATCCCTGGAATCCCAGGCAATCTAAATCAGTATGGCGCTCAATTGCTGTCATTGCAAGCCAGTGCCACGCTCAACAATACCAGGCAACACCTGCAAGATATCGCAAGTATTGCCCGATATTTCCGGACCTTGCCTTGTCGTGCAACCTATTCAGGGTGATTGGGCTAGAATGGAATCCTGACAAGGTGCGCCCAACATTCATCAATTGTCGCAGGGTATTTCTACGATTGCCCGAGTACGCGTGGGTAGGGAATATACGACAATATTTTTACAGTTTTGCTGATGTCCATCAGCTCGCGAGCGCCCGGGAGCGGTGCTGAGATTCCAAGCACATCATTCAGTGATGGCACCTCGCCTGCTGTCCTGTTCTTATGCTGAAACTCATTCTTTCATCTACAGACCAAGCCTGATGCGAAATTCTGTACCAGTACCTGGTTCTCTAGGAGTAGAGCCAAGTAATAAATGTGCGAAGTCCCCACGGACTGGCCCTAAACCCCCACGTGGCGCCATCAACAATACAATGGCTGGCGTTGCCCCGACAACCTCAACATCTCTTCCTTCATTCCCCTTACCATAGACCGCATCCTGAGCTCCTGTCTCTCTCAATTGGCTCTGTAAGAAATACTAGGTACCGTCTAGCTTGAAATATGGCGTCTACTCTGAGTCTGAGCCGATCACACCCTCTACAACCGGCGCTGTGACGTGATGCCCTCCTAGGCCATTCGTCGGTCGGTTATGCTATATTGTTAAGGTACTGACATTCCGAAACATCCTTCTAGCTGTGATATGGTGAGTTCGTCCGATATGTGTTGGGGTGAGTCCATTCCCGTTGAGCCTGCGTCTTAGAGGTGAGTGGCCACGGTGAGCGACTTGAGCTGCCGCTTTACTATGCGATCTTTCTGAGCAGCTTTGGCCCCCACTTGACAAACCTGACCTTGTGGTATCTCGCAGGAAGGTGCGCTCTATGCGTGTCTGCTCAGCCTTCACGAGGTCGGCCTTGAGCGACTTGAGCCGGCGCTCGGTTGCAACGCGCACGTCGGCGGCAAGTGTCATTTTCAAGGTATGTGTATGTCGCATACTTCAGTGCTCTCTGCATTTGAGTTTGAGCTTTGCTTGCACGATCAGGACGTGTTGTGTGGTATGTGTAGTCATGACCTGCTGGGGTAGTGTTGCATTGTGCATAGATTACGAGTGTACTCACTGCATATGTATGTAGCTAGTTGGTTCTGTGCAATGAGATCATATTTCCTGCCTCTGTAAATTACGTGCTATGTGAAGTTGTGCTAGGCGGCTATAAATTCGAGGGTGTGTTCTGGTGTCTCGGAAGTGCTCGCTGAGTGCTCGCGAGCTGTAAGGAGGCCAGCGCTTACTACCCCAAAAACAGAAGCCTCGCTTCCTTATTCGGTTCTCGGACGTCGTCCGACAACCGCCTTTCTCCTATGGTAGTCCAGACTCTCTTATTCCTTTCTCCCTTTCATTTTCAGTTTCATTTTACATTACCTAATCGTATCTAGCTAGTAGTACAAAACCGGTATCTGTTCGGGGAAAAGCCCCAGCTGTTCGAGAATTCGAGACACTACTTGTACGGGCCGGCGCCTGACATACCCGATTAGGACGAACATCGCGCTTTGTCGCGATCACAACAAAGCCCTTTGGGCTCAGTGGCTCCCGCCACCATAAATCTCTTTCTCTCTTTCTCTCATTTGTATTTCTCTGTTCCTTTCTCTACTGTAGATCTCAAGTAGTATAAGAAGGCCTGTACTTAGAGGGGAGTTGCCCCAGCGTTCGAGATATACAACTCTACCCACTCACCCTCTCGTGTGTCTCTTACTCTCTCGTGTTCTCGGACGACTTCAACCTCGGCTACTCTCAGCAAGCTATCGCTTACCTCTCACGCCCTCTTGAAGCGCCCGAAATCTCACACTACTACTCATCTCGCATCTCAATGCTCTCGTGTGTATCTCTGCTCTCACTCTCTCTCGCTTGACTCTCGGTACCCTCTCGACAACGCGAGGTCGTAGAGCGCCGAATACCTCACACGAGCACTCGCCGAGTCCTGCTGGGCGCTCGGTGGTACTTGTGAAAGGGGGGGATGCCTCAGACGACTCGGAGTGTTCGCGAGCCTCAAGAGCACTCTGGATAAAAGGTTTTTTTTTCCTGATGTTGGTGGTTGTCGGCATTGGTGGTGGTACATCGCTGTCTTGCCATTTGCTTTCGTCATCCGGTGCTGGTAGAATGCAAGAGAGTGATTGAGTGATCCTCTTAATGTTCAGTACAATGATTGTCACGGACGTTGCACGGGCACCCCTTTTTGTCGCCCATTCCCTTCCCTTTGACGCCCACCTTACATTTTCGGACCATTTCCTTTCCTAGCCCATCCCAGTTTGGACACTGTAGATACATTCCCACAGCCGCATGCTACGTTCCCGTGATTGTCATGCCCTCGCCTTTTCTTTCTCGCCCTTTGTTCTCTCTTTGTCATCTTCACTGCCTCGCTCTTGCGCCTTGTCCTTGGTTGCTAAGCAGCCCCTCTAGTATATAAGGACCCCCTTAGGCGCTCCCTAGTCCCCATCTCGACCTCTTGGTCATTGGGACTAGGTGAGTGGCCATAGCGTTGTATTTCCCTTTGAGTGCTAATGTATAACTTGGTCATTGAGACTAGTCTGTCGCTGTCTGCGTGAAGACTAGCTTTCGTAGGTCTCGCGCCCTCGTGCCGACCTCCGCTCTGCCCTCGTCGAGTTTTCTGTCACGTTTATCCCTCTCCCTCTCTCTCTTTCCCTTTCGGCTCCTTGCCGCTCGCCTACGGGGTCGTCGCCGAACGTCGACCCGAGTCTACGCGCCTAGTTGCCGCGACAATGATGTTGCTAGATCACTTACGAGTATCATATGTCACTGCGAGCACATTTGACTTTACCATCATCATCGGAAAGCACTTCTGAACATGTGTACACCACCAATCTCGCCAGACTTCTCAGTCACACAGTTCGACCCATATCCGCCATTTCCTGCCCTGCTTGCCGACCTCTCCGTCGGCACTCGGCGGTGGAGAAGACTCATGAGACAACTCTTCCAGAACTCGACCAACTGTACTGAGAAGGTCTGCAAACTCCTACCGAGTAAAGTGGGCTCCATGGAATGCAACGAGATGAATGCGTGGGCGAGGAACTTCGGAATCCCATGAGTCGAGCATCGCCTTGAGTTTGTCGAGCGACTGCCCCTCAGTCACGAGCTCCGGACCCAGGAAAATGTCCAATCGCTCGAGCGTCGAGCAGAGGCTCAAATCTACGCCCACTGGGGACTCCGTGGTGGCGTCTCCTGATGTGACACGTCAGTGCGCTAGCTTGTAAATATCATTACGAAGCAGAATCAACACACCGGGCAGGGCCATTTCTGCATTGTGGGAGAAGGGCACGGTAACTGACAATTCCCTGAGACGCAGCCCACAAGCGGATAGCAGTCTTCGGACGCATCGTATGTCCACGCGATACTGAACAAATGATGTTAGATGCGTGCCATGCATATCGCAGAGTACATACCAGTCGCAGCTCCTGTAGTTTTGGTGCAAATGGCGTTGCAGGAGCATGAATCCCATCGGCTCGCAGTTTCATGTTGAATGGCAGAGGGCCGAGGGTCACGCATCGCACACCGACGCAATGTAGTGTTTGCAATGCGGGAAGGGAATTGATCATCCTGGCCAAGTCGTTGAAGTGCCCAAATGTGATATCCACGATATGGAGTCGAGAAACCGTCGTGAATGCAGAGAAGTAGACCACGAAGCGTGGATGAAGAGGAAGGTACTGTAGGGACTTCGCGGACTCCGATTCAGACGCGCTGGGGTACCAGTCCTCGTCTTCGCAAACACGAATTATAGCGACCTCTTGGAGATTAGGGAGCCTCTCACGGAGGGCAATAGGCAAGAGCGAGAGAGGACTGGTTGTGGTATGAAGGGTGCGCCCGACGAGCGTCACTTCATAGACATAGTGTAGCGACTAGCTGATAATGGAACGTGCGGGAATTGCACCACGCACAACCGTTGGACTACCCGTCCCACTTTCCCAGCCCGTTACAGCCACTAAGCACCGTTACCTCGGGTGACTAAGCCGGGTACTGCCGTACTTCTCTGTGACGGTGCGTCATCCGTGATGCCACCGTTACACATAGTCGCACAGATGGGGCGCGTTGTCGAGGACAGCGGATAACTTCTGGAGTGCTGGCAGGTCGTGGAGAATAACTGAGTAGAATAGGTTACACTGGGAGCGGACACGCTAGGCTCTGCACACGAGGGCGCAGTGATGCAAGGCACGAGTATCTTCGATTTGGTCTTTGACGGAGAACGAGTATAGCATGTCGATGATGTTCTCGCAGACTTCGACGGGGAAGCGGCTGGCGTTGTGTTCGGAATGAGCACGATTGTCGTCCATCGTGGATTTACTCGAAACTGGGGATGTGTCTGTGGAATGCAGAGCACTGGGCGACGGATCGTATGTGGGACAGCGGTGAGTGAGTGAGGAGTGCCATAGAGCTCGCAATCGCTACTCAGGTTCTTATCGCTCCTGAAATCTAGCTTCATCTCCGGCTGTTGTTTCTCATATGGTCGTAAAGTTCACAAGATAGCCATCAGCAAAAGTGCAAAATGGTTGGCTACGGTTGGCTCGATTGGCCATGGCACTCAAAATTGGCGTGAATTATACTTAAGCCCAATTGAAGGGGAATCAACTAACATTTGCAGGATGAATTGTCCCAAATGTCCATGTATAGAATATCGTACAGCCCTCTAAGGTAGACTGACACCCTGTCCCGATTCAGCCCCTGACAGCTTGACGTGCAACGTCATATATCATTACCTACTTATGACGCAACACTACGAACAATAGATAAAGCCAGGCTAATCCCATCCGATTCTTGACAACTCTTTCCTCCAGACTCCCATCTCCCCCGCTGTACTCTCCTCATCATACCCAATGGGATGCATCCTTTCCTTGCGAATACTGCACCCGCCGTCAAGGTAAGTCGTCACATTGACAAATAAGGTAAGCAGGCTTGAATCGGACATGTTCACTGCATATATGCACTTAGTCATGAAGGTACGTACATCTCTTGGGCAGCCCGGGTGAGGTTGCGTGATAATCTCTGTTTGTATGTCTCGCCTTCGCATCCCTTGTATTTCTCCCATGTACTGGTGAGTCCAAGTGCGTGTCCAATTGTCGGTGAGTCAATCTGGATACTTGCGACATTTCTGTATATAGTTGTCGTAGTTTACTGCGGGCACGGCATACCTCCTGTATCTTGTTGTAAATTACGTCATATCCTTGCAATACCATCTTTCCGATCATATGCCCAAATTGAGCGGAATCGCAACAATATGTGATTACATAAGAGCACCATATTTGTGCAATCCAGCCAACTTCCGAACCAATTAAGCATGTCTGAAGATAGTCTTGAAAATTGAAGCTCTTCGGGGCAAGTGGTGGCGTCAATTGGCTTCGATTGGCCTGATTGGCTTCGAATATATTTACGACCCCTATTGGATTGCAATAGAATCATAGAGAACTTAGCATGCTTGTAACAATCGAATGTACAACTTGGACGACATATTCTTGAATGGCTTCGCACATGCTGCAAGCCAATTGAAATGCAGTTTTGCTGATGGCGTGGAACACAAGGACACGGCGGGCAAAGCACCAGGATCCAAGCAGGGAAATCTGTGCAAGCATTTATGGGCAACGCAACATCTGTAAAAACCACCTTTGCGAATTACACCTATTTAGTACAAATTAGCTCTTAATAGACACAGTAGTTGAATAGTGAAAAATAGTGCAAAATCGAGAGGTCCCCAAAAATAATTGCACTATTTTGCACTATTAATGCAAATTTGTGCAAAGTAGCACTATAGTAGACGGAAATAGTGCTATAGTAGATGTTGATAGTAGTGGATAGAGTGGGTCCATAATTTCTGAATAGTGTAGAAATGCTTAATATGACCTCAAAACCATCTGTTTATAAGCCCCAGATGCATTTAAAGTGCTGGAAAAAATATTATAAAAAAGTGTCCTCACCCAGTCTTGAACCCTCAACCCCACTTTCAGATAACACTCCTATTCCGAAGGGGTGCTCTATACCACTGCACCACCAGAGCTTACACAGATCCTCTCCACAAGTACTATATATATCCATCACTGCTGGACTTGGGCAAAGTGGTGACACCTCACCTTGAGATTCACCTGTTGAGGCTTGCATATGCGTGATGTCTGGGACTATGTATATAACATGGAGTGTGCTATAGAGTATGTTTCATGGTATGAATGCTGTGCTGACAGCCTAATCCTATACATGATAACAAGTTCTATGTTGAGTTGTGCCCTCAAATATAAGTCAGCTATCATGGTGATTTTGCAGCTATAGAGGTGTGTAATGCTTGAGTTGAGAACTATGAGCTATAAATAAAGGATTGTCATCTTATTTGAGTCTCCCCTAAATGAGTAGTGCTAAAATAGCGCAAAATAGTACTACAGTAGTGCAAAATAGCGAAAATTAGAGGACCACATTTGCAGTAGTGCTATAATAGTATCATGTTGGCACTACATGGCACTATAGAAAAAGCGATAGTGAAGAGTAGTTATAACTAGTACCAAGTATACTAATTAGTGCTTAGTTGCACTACTGAA